AGAGGTGATGCTGGGTGTGTGTCCTTGCTCAGGAGTGTGCAGCTGTTGGGCACCTCAGTCACAACACGGTGCAGTGAGCTGTGTCAGCATGTGCTGCCAGATGTGCCTGAAGTAGTTCCAGCCCGTTGGGGTCTTTGAGCAGTGTTGGCTGCTGATGTCTGGAGTTCCTGGGTGTCCCGTGTGCACACGTGTGTGAGTCTGTGTATGTTCTGTTCGTGTGTCTGGTTGGCTGTATGTGTGTGTGTGGGCAGATGTGTATTATGCAGCTGCACAGATAGATTAATCTGTATTTAGTTTCTGTAAGTCGGTGTTTGTAGAGGTGTAGTTTGCAGTGGATCTGACGGTGGCTGCTGTCCCTGTCCCATGTCCCCGGGGGCTGGTGGCTGCTCTCGTGGGTGCAGGGCAGCCCGTAGCTGTGACAGTCTGAGCTGTGACAGTCTGAGCTGTGACAGCCCGTAGCTGTGACAGTCTGAGCTGTGACAGTCCGTAGCTGTGACAGTCCGTAGCTGTGACAGTCCGTAGCTGTGACAGTCCATAGCTGTGGCAGCCCAGTGTGGCAGCCAGGGCACACTGAGGAGCTGGTGTATGGCGAGTGAGGACAGCGCCAGGGGGCTGCATGGCACAGTGTGCCCTGTGCCCAGCCCTGGGTGTGGGACATGGAGCACAGTGGGGACAGTGGGGTGAGGCGGTGGCTGCAGCTCCGGGCGAGGTCCAGTACAGTGGCCGGCAGTGGGAGCCTGTTCCTGGTTCAGTGTGGCCGCAGGCTCCCAGTGAGGTCCGGCGCGGGCAGGAGCTGGTGGCCGGTGCTGGGAGCCTGTTCCCATTTCGGTGTGGCCGGTGGCCGGTGGTGGGAGCCTGTTCCTGGTTCAGTATGGCCAGTGGCCAACAGTGGGAGCCCATTCCTGGTTCAATGTGGCCGGTGGCCGGTGGTGGGAGCCTGTTCCCAGTTCGGTGTGGCCGGCACTGGGACCCCGTTCCCAGTTCGGTGTGGCCATGGTGGGAGCCCATTCTCAGTTCCATGTGGCCATGGTGGGAGCCCGTTCCCAGTTGGGTGTGGCCATGGGCTCCCAGCGAGGTCCAGCAAGGGGGCCCGTTCCCAGTTCAGTGTGGCCAGCAATGGGTGCCCGTTCCCAGTTCAGTGTGGCCAGCAATGGGTGCCCGTTCCCAGTTCAGTGTGGCCAGCAATGGGTGCCTGTTCCCAGTTC